GAGGGAGGAGAGTTCCTTTCTGGAAGAGGTAGTGAACATGTGAGGAATATTAACCCCACATCCATGCGGATTTTGTACTATGTTTACATTTTCTTGTAAGACTCAATTAAGTGCACATCTCAATGTTATGAAGAAAAAAAAGATATAAGTCTTAATTTTCTTCAGCATTTAGACCAAAAGAGGTACAAAATTTTAGCTTTGGATAGAATAAATTGCCTCACATATACAAACATGGGAATATTGTCTAGAAAGCAGCTTGAGCTGTGTACTAGTGACCTGCAGAGAAATGGGCTGCTTGTCTATGTATTAACATGTCAACATTTGTTTGCCTTAAGAATAAAATGAGGCAAAATTTGGGGGACTATCAGCTAGTACAGTTGCACACAAACAAGTTTCAAGGTATAAAAGCCCTTACTCTTGTCTCATGTAAAAGCAATGGTTGTCAAAACCAAATGGCGGCTTATGGCACTTTATCAAGGTGCCCTATTTAGCAATGAGGAACAAGGGTAGAGGTCAGCAGGCCTCTCCTTCAGAGAAGGGGAAAAGGAGATGGAAACATACTGTCTATGGAACATGAGACCTCTATGATTTGTCAGTACCTCTATCTAGTATATAATTCATAGATCAGTAAACTATAAATCTCTAGTTGCTAGGATCATATTTGAAGTGTTTTGTAATTTTCCACTTGGGAATCAGTTCAGAGAAGTCAGAGGTGAAGTGCTTTGTGATGAATCAAAGTACTTTAAGCAATTGCTTTAGTTGTTTGTCAGTTTTCCCGGTGTTTTCAATGAAGCACTTACAAAGAAATTGCACTTGTGCACTTACTTGTTGTTTTATATCCTCTTCAGAGAACTATATGAAGGGTAATAAATACATTAGGGAACTGAAAAAAAATGTTGATAAGGAATTTCAGTTAGGGGGATAGTTAGTGAGCTTTATAGTTATCTGCTATAGCTTTGGGGCTTCAACATCAATGGCTGTTAATCAGTTACCAGGTTGTTTGCATTCAGTAGCTGAGGAAATCTTTTTTTTTTTTAATATCCAAACTTCATGTTTAAGCTATTGATTCTCTGAGTGGTTCTTGGTGAATTAACTTTGGTCATTGGTAAAGCCGGACATGGACTCTGAGAGACAGTTAAATTCAATTGCAGGCCAGTACTGATGTTCACTCCTAAGAGACTGGGAAATCTGGTTTTTCAGATTGCATTTTTTTTTGTCTGACTTCAGCAAACTAGTGAAGTTAACCTCTGCTAATTCTTAGAGGAGTTTCTCATACAGTTGTGAAGGCAACCTAAGTTCTCCTGCAGATCCCTCCCATATACTTTCCTCAGGGATGGCATCTACAGCATTCCTGTCTGTAGGTTACTGGTGAGCAGAGACGATTTCAGACACTGGGCAACGCTCCCTGGCTGTTCCTTAGTATTCCTTCAGCAGCTTGCACTGCTGTTTTTTTGAGATAATGACTATCTCCCTGTTGAGTGTTTGGAAAGCACCTAAACCAGTGGAGACCTTGCAGCTCCAACGTGCGATGAGAACACGGAGAGCAGGGAACGTGTGTGAACCTCTGAAGCTCTCCTGTTAGCAATGAATTCTGGAGTCAGAAGCTTCAACACTTTTAAATGATGATTTTGTGTTTACAAGTGGAAAGAAAACACAAATCTCTGGTTCCAGTGTACTTTCAACACAGTTCATAACACTTATTTTGCCCTTATAGTGGGTACCTCAGACTACAGAGGTACAGGTGTATTTTGCATATCGTCTTCAAATACAAAACTTGTTTTCCTCTTTTTGTGAAACTCCTGCCAGACTTTTCCAGACTCAATTGTGTCTACTCTTTGGGACAAATTCATTATCAATTAATTTCTTGGACTGGACTGCGGGGTTTCCTGAAAGGTAGTTTTGCACAGTGAAATGGGGAACTATTCTTTTTCACCCTGGGACACTCATACATGGATTTCAGCCATACAACCACAGAGGGTGCTGAATATTCTTTAGGATACCTAAGTTTGAAAACTAACCCTATACAAACAGCTACTTGTAGGTCACCTAGCATTATGCCCATAGAAAACTGATTCCTATGGTTAGCCTTTTCTCAGGACAGACAGTAAGGTCTGATTCATTCCGTTTCACAAAATTGCTTCAGTGGCACAGCCAATAAAAGGGAAAAATAAGTATTGTGAATGGCACAGAAGGTGTGTTATTATTATTTATTATCAACAATTTGTTAAATATATGCAATTATTTATTGCTACTTATCTTAATGTTGCTTCACACTTTCTGTACTATCACTAGTTTAGCAGAGCACTTAAATATACAAGTAAGAGTTTTACTGAGCAGACACAAAGCCAGATCTGTTCTCTGTTATCTGCTGATGTACCTTTCAGTTGGCTGATTTCTATGCAGACTAGAATTTGTTTCTTTGCATGATTTGTGAACCTTATGGCTCAGCCCAAAATAATGGCTTTGTGATCCTGTTATAAGCTGTTTCCATAAAATCTTCCATGTTTCAGGTACGAACTAGGAGAAGCTCTATACTTAGGCTGGACTGGTTCTATTCTTTATATCCTTGGTGGGATCTTACTGACCTGTTCATGCAAAGGGAAGGAAAACCAGAATTACAGGTAATCTTGGGTTTGTCAGTCGAAACAGTAGCTGTAAATTACATATCCCTTTCTACCTGTGCACTTTTCTCCCCCTCTCTCTCTCACCTTCGGGTATAAATATGTAGCCACATAAAGTACAGCAGTACTATGGGCTATCACAGACCTGTGATGGCAGGGTTTGCTACACCAAACACTTGCACAGTGTACTTGTTGATTCTTCGCCATCAGTAGTCCCTATAACTTGTGTTTGGTATTTCTGGGTACTGCTTATATTTCCAAGTTCTATGTGGTGAAAATGTGCAGTGAAAGAGTGAACTGTCTATTGGCAAAAGAAAAATATTTCAAAGAATATAGTGTATTATAATCCAGTTTCTCTACAATACTCACTGTGATTAAAATATTCAAACACCATTTAATTTGCAGAAAGTGTAATGGCATTTCCTTCCCAAAGCACATCCAACTGATCATTAGAAACATCATTTTTTTCTTGTTCTTTATGGAAATATCTTGTTGCACATCAAATCAGAAAAGTTGAGACTTCAGGCCTCAATATTTAATCTTCCCTGGACTTTTTTTCAATCCTAAATTACTGACACAAACAAAAGGTCCCTTTCTGAAGAAGAGGGATGAGATTGCAAAAATAGCAGAGGTTCATGTCTACCAGAAGAACTCAAATGGCTTGGAGGTTGTGCTGGCTAAGCTTGAGAGGCTGATAATGTGGAAGGAGGAAGCATGCTCACTGCTGCTATATTTAATCTTTGAAGATTATGTCAAAACACATAGTAAGTGAGCGCTCCTCTGATACTCCATTGCCTAACCTGAAACCATTTCAGTTTTATGGTAATATTTCATCAGCCACATTGGACTTTAGATCTTGCTCACCGTATTTTAATACCAAGTACCGAATGTCCTGAAATGTCCTGAAAGTCAGGTAGAACAGACATATGCAATAGAAGTTCAACATGACAAATGACAGCTGAAGGGATTGGCTGAAGATACTTGTTTTTCTTTCTCATCATCTTGATTCTTGTATTAAAACCTGGAGCTTGCACAAGGGCATTGAGGGTTAGGTTCTCTTCTGCTTTAAGGCCTTGACTGAAATGCCTTGAGGAAGAGCACAGGTGAATTAGGAATCCAGACTGTGGTTTTGGTTATGAGAGATGGCTGTGCTGCCTGTCAGGGAGCCCTTGTCTTTCCCCTTAGCTACCAGACTGATGAGAACAACACACAGCTAATTTCTGCACCTTTGTGAAGAGCGTGCTATCGGTGGGATTGATATAGACCTAAATGAGTAACTTCCTAAGTATCTAAACTATGAACGTGTGTCTAATACTTATTATTTTATCTTTTTTTTTCTTACTTTGCAGAATCAACAAATATGGGTATTCAGCAGGCCAGGCAGCTCCTCAGCCACACATGTACTCCAGGAACACTGAGACGATCATAAGCAACAAGGAGTATGTCTAAACTTCCATTTTGCATCACCTGTAACGTTAGTAGGTTATGAACTCAAATAAAGAAGTGAACTACTTCCAGGGTTCCGGTTCCAAGTTGCAATCTTATCCCTTAATTTGGAGCAGTACAGGAGGAGGAATGCTTTCCAATGTAAATAGGAATGGTTTTCAGATGTAAATAGGTTTCTACAGAAGATGTGAAATCCTGCCACAAGAAGGTTTTCTGCATGCTGAGAAAGCTGGTAAAATTTAACCAGAGCGCAGTATGTGCTGACACTTGAGAGCAACGGTTTCCATTTCAGCTGACTCAAACATGGGGAACTGATAGCTGTGTCTGACTGCGAGTTCATGTGCCTCACAGTTAAAAAAAGTATTGTGTTTTCATTAATGTTTAGCTTCCTACTTTTGTTTAGCAGCTTTAGCTTTTGACAGGAAATAAACTTTATTCCACGGATTGACTGGAACAGATTTTTTGATGAGTGGTATCCTGGCAATTAATAAGGATCTGATGTATTACTGCAATTCTTATTATGTATGATAGTCAAGGTTTATAAAAGCTACAATAAATTCTCTAGCAACCACTCACCTTCAAATCTGCAGATGTGCAACAAATTTCATGGTTGTAATGCCGATACCAAAAATAAATGATATGGAATGAACCAAACACAGCTGGGAGTGGAGAAAGCATCTGGTGTGAAAATGCCTTGTGGTAACTAAGAAAACAATAGCCTGAATTTTTTATTTTTATTTCAGCTTTTAAAATAATCCTATTTTAACTTTGAGCAATCTTTAACTTTGGGAACTTCTACAGCATCTGAATTGTCTAATTCGTGTAATTCCCCAGAGGCTTTATTCTCTGTCATTGTTCCATCATTAGAATTTCTGCCTTAAACTACTCTACTGCTGGGAGCATATGTTTGCCTTGTGTGAGCACTCAGACAGATGGTGATGAGCTAATTTTATTTTATATTTACGCTTTAAGCAACATGAAATGGAATTTCACCCTGCAGGTTCATAGGTTTCATAACTTGTCCCTTTTAAATTACAGATGTATTCATACAGTTTGACAAAATACTTTGGTGTTTCTCTGTAGTTCTAATGTCTTACGATAAACATATAGTAGTCTGATTTAGAAGTTTCATGCAGTTTTCTTGATGTCCCAATAGATAATTTCAGAGAGCAACCTGCAAGCAGTCTTAGCAGAAATGATTTAGCCAAGTTGCTTGGATGCAGGTACAGCTGACTTGTAAACTGGCACATTAAGGCATGTGTTGGGCACTGACAGATCTTGTCAGACTTAGTAAGTAAAGCTAAAAAGGGTGAAGATTACTTCTAAATTGCCAGTGTCATCTTCTTCCCCCCACTATCAACTGTTGTTTTTTAAATCATTCCTTTGGTGTTTTAGACAATAATTTCAAAAGCTGAAAAGGCACTTAACTTGCATGTTGGGAGCTGAACTCCTTCCCATCATCTGTACATTCTGTCCTCTGGATTTTTAGGTAATTTTATGAAGGTGCTTTGGTCTCGTTGAACGGAAGGAAAATGGCAGACTAAACATCAGCCAGTGTTAGTTTCCCACCAAAAGTTGTGTCAGCTCATGAACATGAATTATGAATTAATATCCAGCAGGTGAGACAGGAATTCAGAACTTCCTTGGTCTGGCATCAGGTCTTCCAGTGGCATCACTGGGAAATTTAATTAACAACCAAGAGTAAAACTGCTGTGTGGTAACTCCTTCACTCGTTCAGTACATCGTTATCGTATTCAGTGGAAAATAACTGCTGAAGTTTCCATGCCTTCCTCTGCTTTGTTTAACAATCCTTCCAACCATGTTCTGTTTCTGTAGTTTCTCCCTGCTTCCATGCACCCTGTTTCCATGCACCTTCAACAGAAATGTGCTGAATGAACCATCAGGCATTTTATGCAGAGGTGATTCAGGAAGGTATTTTTTTCCTTTTTTTTTTTTTTTAATCTGTAGAAACTTCACTCTGTTTAAAGCATCTTCACACATTGCTAGTTTTAAGTCCTTTGCTCAGTGGACCTGGCTGCTTTAGTATCTGCAAATCTTCTTCATATCTCTGCAGCTGAGACCAAAATCCTGCGTTAGGTTCTGCTACAGGTCTGGCAGCCTTCACAGCCTAGAGAACAGGAGAGAGTGGTAGAAGCAAGGTGTCCTGCATTTGTGAGTGTCCTGCATTTGTGAGTGTCCTGTAAATGGATTTTTTTCCTTAGAGAAGATTTACTTTGGTTTTGATTTGACCATAGAATAACGAACAGCTATTTTGGTGAGCTGACCTCACTCTGTGCTTGCTATGACTTGGCACGTGGTCCCTGTTACAGAAGGGATTCATGGGCGAGACATGAGAAGGAGCTGTTGAATTTGCTGGAAATGGGAATGTCTCTCACAAAGTGTGCTGACAGTGCTCATGTTTTAGACAGCGTGAAACTGGTCTGCACACAGTCTAAACTGAGCAAAATGGTATCTAAAGACTTCAGTGATACACCTGCCAAATGGGTGAAGACTAAAGGCCCATAGAGCCCAAGTAGTTTGTATTGGATGGGCTTCCTAGGAAAGCTGAGATGCTACTGCTCATAGCTAGTCCCTGGCCATTGAGCAGACCTAACAGGATGTTTCTTTGCTGTGTGGAGCAAATCCTGCAAAACAATTCCTGCAGCCACTCATTTGTCTCTGTCTTTAATGTCACTTACTGTGACTATGAAACTGACAGAGAAAAATGGTCACTAAACAAGCAGCTTTGCATGTTGCTACGGGTGCTCAAAGCCTATTTGCATTTGTAATTATTTTGTCCCAGAAACCTCACATTGAAAGGTCATTTGTCCAAGCTGGGGGTGAAAAAACTTGGAGGGAAACATTTATTCAAAATGTTGAATATCTGTATAACTGGTAGTGGGCAGGTGAGAGCCCAAAATAACTGATCATTACTCAGAACAAGCCTTACATTTCTCCCCCAAAAGGAGTCTAAATATAAATCTGGGCACAGGCACGTTACCTCAAACGCGTCCTTGAGCGGGAGCTGCCGGTGTCTCATCAGATAAGCCGTGCAAATGGCAGCCGACCGGCTGCGGCCGTTCTTGCAGTACACCAGGCACTTCCCCCCGCCCCGCACGGCCTCCTCGATGGCGTTGCCGCACGGCTCGAAGTACCGGTACAGGTCCTCGGCCGGGTCGTCGAACACGGGCACGCGAATGCCGCGCACCCGCGGGAGGCCGGGGAACGGCTGCTGCCTGGTGACATTGATGCAGAAGGTGACCCCCTCCCGCGACAGCAGCTCCTCGTCGCAGGCTGCCCTGGCCGTGCCGAGGAACAGGGAGGCCGTGACCTTGCAGAGCTGGAGCATGGGCAGCCCAAGGTCCCCGGCCCCTCCGCGCCGGGGGTCGGGGTGCGGGGGCTCCTCGGCGGCAGCGCAGCTGTGCCGCCCGCAGCCGGTGGGCCGGGCTGTATTTACCCGTTCTGTACAGGCTGGGGCGTAGAGGCTCCAGGCAGGTCCTAGTGCCGGCTGCATCTCGAGAACTGCGTTTGGAAAGCTAAAACGCTTTCAGAGCCCACAGCTCACTTGTGAACTAGCTGGATTTTACAGTCCCTACCCCTACAGCAGCTGCTTACCCGCTGTGTTCTGCACGGGAAGGCTGCTGCGGTCAGTGCTGTTGGTGCAGGGATGCAATATTGATGTGAACTCCTCCAGAGCATCTTGGGGCCCCTCACATACGACAAAAGCATCTTTTGAGTGCCCAGAAAATTATTTACTAGGCTGGCTGGATAGCACAGCACTAATTTCTCTGGACTTCTGTAAAATTGCTGGTGTGGTGCCAGAGCAAGAGTATCTTACCCTGGAGTGTGCTGACATGGGTTAGAGCTCTGCAGGACGGGTGGGGATGGGGCCAAGGGCCCGGCCAGGTGAATGCCACATAAGCCAGCGCTGCAGGGCTGGTCACTGGTATCATCCACTTCCCGGAGCATTGAACATGTGGCTGAGGTGCTTCACCCCTCTGCTTTCTGGTGAAACAGGAGCATGTGACCAGTATTTGTTGCTGGCACAAAAATGAGCCTGGACTGTCACAGCAGCAGAGCACAGACTAATAGGACAAATCTGGTGACTTACTGGTTTATGAGTTCCTGCACTGGTGTGCAGGTCTTCCCTGGGTGCCCCCATCCTAGGGCAGCATTTCTGTCACATAAGCACCATGTCACTGTGGCCGCACCTGTGCTTCCTCACTCTGAGGCTACTGCTACCTGTCTGCAGTTGACTTAAGAATGGTCATTCATGCCAGAAAGGTTGTCCCTTCCCACCAGCCCGCCCTGTATCATGTCCCTGTGCAGAGGAGGAAATAGGGACAGGGCACTTATCCTTACATGGAGAGTGATTTATAAGGTAAACGCAAATGCCACCTCCTGGCAGTGAAGACAGTTGCCAGCTCTGCAAGATGATGGTCAAACTGCAGGGTAAAAGCCTCATCACCTGACTAGAAAAGGTCTGATGCCTCAGTCCAAATTTTGCTGAGGGTCTTCTGGTCTTTGTGCCACTGCCAGTTGGGGTTTGGTGCAAACAGCCCCAGTTACACTGGCTGTGTCTCATCCTTTTCCATGCACCCGTAAAGTGTCTGGCCCCATCGTCTTGGGGATACTACAGGGGAGCTCCCTGTAGGTACCAAGCTGTTGTTAGAGCCTCTGAAGCCTTTCCTTCCCAGGCAAGCAGGGCTGTGTGGCTGCAGGGCAGCGGGAGCTGAGGTTGTATCACGTCCTACACTTCCCGCAAGCTCTTAGCAGTGAATTTGCAAACACACTGCGTTCAGTGGCATCACAAATTGCAGGAATGTTTTCAGACAACTTTAATACACACACAGCTGTAAGTAGATATTATTTAAGATCATCATTAGACACAGAGGAGGCAAAGGAGGCAACTGGTGTGCAAACAACTTCTCCAAGGAGAAGACCTACATTTCTGCACTTGTCTGTATTTATATGAATGTGTGCATGTGGTGCAAATAGCTGTAACTGCAGGACAGAAACCTAAAGAAATACCTACTCGCTCAAGGGTATCGCTCAGTTTATTAAATTTAGGTGGTATTTGCTTCCAGGCAGAAAGATACACTTCTAGTAGTTTCCAGTTATCAAGTCTTTCTTAGACACTTCACGAGCAGCTTCTGATGCGTTACCTTGACAGCTGTATTTACCCACTTCTGGAAAGGACAGAGCTGAAGCACAAACTTTTCTGCTGCACCAGTTCAGCATCAAGCACATGCTTGAGATCAAACATTCACATCACTTCTTTGCTTGCTGTGAGCCCTGCCAACAGCTGCAGTGGTGTAAGGCCATGGCTGTAATTACCACAACACTTTGTAATGATCAATATCAAGGGCATTTCTGATTCCTTATACTGTTATACCACGTCTTTCTGTGCTTCTACATGAGAAAGAGAACATTTAGCATCCTTGCTTTGATGACTCAAGCCAGGCTCACCTTGTTCCCACAAACACACATCCATACATCCAACCCAGCAGCTCCTCCTCTGGAAGATATGGGGTTGGATGCAGGCAAACCCCTGTGCCAACACTGGCATCAGCCCATTAGAAACTTGTGGCTGAAACACCATTTCATTCCTCGGGACTCCTGACCTGTCCTTTATCTGTGCCTTAACGAGGAAAAAAGAAAGAAAACGCCAAACTCAGATTAAATGGAGAAGAAATAACTGCCCTGTTATCTAGGTTTGTCTCCAGCCTTTTTATTTATACAAGGATTCAAAGAACATATTTCAACTTTAGATAAACAGTGCAAGAGAGTTACAAGTACCTTGGTAACAGAAAGAAATAGATAATTGTCCAGCTATGCCGATAAGTGAAATAATTCTTACTTTTGCAGGTAGAAATGCATCTGTTTAAAGCAAAGATGGACTTCAGATATTCTGCTATACCTTAGCCCCTACCAAGCCCACCAGAAAACAACAGGCAGCTTGTCATTTGTAAATGAGAAGTAGCTGTGCTCTCAAAGCCTTTTGAGACCCTCGCCCTTGGTTAAAACATACATGTTATGGCACAAAGATCAGGCTGAAAGACAGAGACACTTGGAAATCCACTATTTCTGGTTCTCCCCTTCCCAGGGACGTTGTTTTTGTTAATATTTTTTCCTAGAGCACTACCCCTGTCAAGCATGAGGCCTTTTCACACCAGAACACCACAAATCACTATCTCGATAACATCAAAGCAGATGTTTCTCTCCAGACAGACCTGTTCCCCAGGGCTCCCCTCATCTAGCCAACCCAAGCAGCCACCAGCCAGGGGCTGGGGAGGTGTGTCACAGCATTTTCAAGCAGGTGGTAGACCAGGAAATGTCATTTATAAGCACTGAAAGGCCCCAGGCTCTGTGCCAGCCTGAGCACAGGTTTGGGGCTTGTCTGGACCCAGGCTGATTTCAGCTTGTTGAGCCACACCAGTGGTTGTTTAGTCATCAGTAACTATGGTTTGCTTTAGGTTTGCTTTAGTTTAGAGTGATATCGAGGTGATATCCTGGGGGACTCGGCCAGTTGGGCTCCCTGGAGAAGATGCCATGGTCAAATGCAGCCCCAGGTCATTTAATGGCAGCAGCTCGGGGAAACCACTTCAGGGCAACAAAGAGAAGAGAAAAACCGAATAACCAGGAACCAAAAAAAAGCAGGAGTGCAGATGGACTTTGTGAAAAGGTAGAAAAATAAATCCAAGGGGGCCCAGGGCCGAGGAGGGAGGAAGCGTCACCACCACTGTCATGTCCCTCCTGGCAAAGAGAGACTGAGCCCCCGGCACTGCCCTCGCCTGCCTGCTGGTCTCACCCCAGCTCGGCTCCCTGAGGATAGAAGGGGTCACCCTCAGGGCCTGGAGGGATGTGGAAGTGGGAGCTCAACTCAGCCTTGGGGGTAAGACATCAGGAAGGGCTTCTCCTGCATAACTGGTTTAACAGTTTCTTTGAGGTTTTGCTGTATTAATTGGGACTATCGGGTTTTATTCTTGTAACAGAACCACAAGTTTGGGCTATTAAATTGTTAAAAGATTAAGCGGACAATCAGTAAATTCTTGGCTTTACATTTAAGGTGTGAAGGGGCCCATAAGAAGCTTTTGAGGGAAAAAGGTGGATAGTAAACACTAACTGCACAGAAATGGAAGTGACAGGGACTTTCCTTTCAGGTCTCATTCTGCATCCATATGTTAGACTGACTTCAGCATCCATACGTTAGAACTCCAACTGAACCATGTTTTGAAGAGGGTACAATGGTTTGATGCCCCCTCCCTCCTCTTAATTTTGCTTTGGATGTAAAGTTTCTGCAGGACTGGTTGTGGGGATTTCTGCAACTGAAGGTTAAATTTGTATCAGCAATTCTAGTTAAAAAAAAAAAGTTAGGAACTCTTCAGAGCAGTAAAGTCATGTGAACTTGTCATATGTCTAGAAGTAAATAAACCTGTACAAATCCATGACTTGCATTTATCCTTTCCAGGGTTCTGATGGGTCTAGTGGCACTGTCTGTCTTTCAGCCAATGTCCAGCATCCTGGCGGTCATTTCGGACACCCTACAAGATCAGGTAAGATTTTTACCTTACAAGAAGGGGAGGACAAGGCAGAAAGATGCCCAGTCAGTGACAGTAGTCACAGAGACTTGGAGAGGCCAGTCAAAGCTGGCCTAAAATCTCTGCCTAGTTTGAGGCACCCTCAGTGCCATCACTGGGCCCCAGGGAGGGCAGGCGAAGAGCTCCCTCTCCCCCACCCCCACCGCTGGCTTTTGGCATTACCTTCCTCATGTTCTCATCTCCACTTAAATTGCACATTCCAGAAACTGCTAATGTTAAAAATGTTTTTTCCTCTCTTCTTAGGAAATGGGCAAACCCAAACCCCATCATGTTTGCTCAGCCCAAAGGCATGTCTCCTCTGGGAGGACAGAGGAGAAATGCTCAAATGCTGTGCAGACCAGTAAAGCAGGAGACAGACCCAGCTCTGCCCTCCCCCTTGCCTCAGTACAAACACAACTGAAACTCAAACCCAATCCCTGGGTGAGCTCTTGGCCCAACCAGTCACAGTGACTGTGTTGGATCTAACATCTGCTAAACCTATGCCTCCAGCTAACACTGGCTGCCCCTGTCAGGCACAGAAGCCTCTGGAAGCCCCAAAGCACAGCCCTACAAGCACAGACACTCCTACAGCTACGTGGGGACATTTATATCGTTCACCCACCACCCCCAGCCTCCAAACCTGGCATGGAGCCCACCCCAGCAGGCATTTTGGGGTTAGGGCAGCAGCCTGTGCGACCCAGAGGCTGGTGTGTGCTGGGACGGGGCAGCAAAGGGTGAGCCTGGCCCTCCTCTGAGCCAAAACAGAGCTGCCAGTAGGTTCCTGACCCACTGTCTCAGCCCGTCCCTGCAGTGGTTAGAGAAGGTGTGTTGGATGATGGGGAAGCAACAGGGAAATTCATTAAAAACCTACAATGCAACTAGAACAAACACCAAAGGAAAACAACCAAAATGTATCCCATCCTCACATCCTCTCTGGTAGGTGCTGCTTTGAGGCAGCCCCCTGGGTAGGGAC